TCCATGAATAAGAACATCTGAGCGAAAATACTTTGGTGCATTTGATAAAGCTTATGTGAGCTTGAAGCATAGCTTTGAAGGATGTTTTGAGGTCATTAACTAGGCTTTTCTGTTTAATATAAACAAGGCATCTCAAGTGTCTGTTGACATGGTGAACAGCTGCATTACCTTTGTCAGTGCAACTTATACTAAAATATAATTCTTCAGCTAAGCATTCGAAGTAGACATCATGTTTCTGGCCATCATTACTTCCCACTTCTACTGCTGCAGTGCACTCACCATAAAACTTCCTTCGCAAAGTGTTTCTTATAACCCAAAATGTCCTTCAAAGCTGTGCTTGAAGCTCATGTAAGCTTTATCAAATGCACCAAAATTGTCCATGAACAATTGCACCAAAATTGTCCATGCGCAATTCAAAACTCTCAGAATTTTCTGCCAGAATGATCACTGCCGAAAACTCAGGGTAACAAAGCCACATCTGGAGGTTGTTAAAGTTGACAGAAGTTGTTCTACAAGATTGAAGCTAGAAAGGTGAATTCTTCCATATACTGTAAGTTTGCTGTGGTCCAGGATAGATCAGAAACATTTGGCAGGAAGATGAAAGAGGCCTTCTGGGTGAATATTCTGGTTGAGACCTGCTACAGTATGTACCCCCAATCTACCTACCTAACTAACTACATTCTTCTATGTGTAATAGCTTGTATTTGCAACTCATTCCATCGTTCTGACTCTGGGCAGCAAAAATAAATCAACAATAAAACTAAATAATATACTAATATGGTAAAACATAATCTCCCCAAATCATCCAAGATCAAAGGCATGCTTGAACAGAAGGCTCTTCAAAGCCTTGTGAAATACAAGGAAGGTCAGGTCCAAATGTACTCAGGGGAAGTAAAGAATAAAAGAATTGAAAAGGAAAGGGGCTGGCCACATAACAAGAAGAACTGGTGGCAGGTGGACCAAGGTAGTCACAGAATGGATCCCACCTGATAAAAAGCATCTACGAAAGAGACCTAAAAGAAGATGGATCGACAACATCAGCAAGTATTGTGGACCCAATTGGCAAAAGAAAGCCAGGACCATATTAGTTGGAAACATACAGAAGAGACCTTCATCTTGCAGTGGATAGACAATGGCTAGAAGGATGATGATGATTCCAAAATGTAAGGGCTATAACTATAGGTAGTGCAACAGTTCATTGAGTGACCGTTCAGAGTTGCAACGGCACTGAAAAAGTGACTTATGACCGGTTTTCACATGACCATTGCAGCATCCCCATAGTTACATGATCAAAAGTCAGACAATGGGCCACTCACTCATATTTATGACAGTTGCTGTGTCCCAGGGTCATGGGATCACCTTTTGCGACCTTTTGACAAGCAAAGTCAATGGGGAAACCAGATTCACTTAACAACCATGTTACTAACTTCACAACTGCAGTGACCACTTAGCAATTGTGACAAGAAAGGTAGTAAAATGGGGCAAAATTCACTTAACAACTATCGTGCTTAACAACAGAAATTTTTGACTCAGTTGTGATCATAAGATGAGGACTATCCGTATAACAGTCTGCCCCATGGTCCACACCACCTCAAGAGGGGTGGGACCTTCAGCAGACCTTCTTTAGACTTGTGGACATGTTGATATGTTTTTGTTGTCTAATCTTAACACCTCAAATAGTTTTCAATTTGAAGGCCAGATTTTAGCTTAAAAATTTAACAATTAAGTAATAAAGTAATATATTCTAAAGGAAGAGGACCGAAAAAATACCACATACCAGCTGATGTATTTTTGAACATTATTATGTTGTCATAGTGGAAATATCCCTTTAAAAAAACCCACAAGAGGATAATATGGATTTCTTCATTGGATATTGATCATGTATTTCTTTGCCCTAATCCCGAGGGGTGATGGCTGGCTAAGGTTATTAGAGGTTTTGCCAAAAGTATCCTTACATGTTATATGTAACTAATCCTTGGAAAGTGCTGATCCTTATTAAGCTCTATTTAATGCCTACATTAATTGGCAAAACCCTCCACATCTATAGCAGAGAATAAAGAAATAACCCCTGGCTGTTAAAAGCTAAAACACTCACATGAATAAATCCTGATGGAGAAATAGTATAACTTGGCTATATATCCAACTTGAAGATATTCCTTTTGTTTTGAGAAGTATCCCTTTTTTTGTGCTGCAAGACTTGTATTTTTGTCTTGTGGACTGGCATTCAGAAGGATGAGGAAATTATTAAGAATTAATTCAGAAATTGATGAGTCCGGGCAGTTCCTAAGTCTTTCGTTCTAAATACAAGTTGCTAAGAAGTACTTCCCAATGGGACCACTTTCCAAATGTTGATATTGTATAAGACCAAGCCTTGAGGCAGCCTAGTTAGAAATGGATAAAATGAGCATCAAATCCTTCTGCCACAATTTGTCAAATTTCGAACTGCCCTAGTCCCGTAGCTGCCTGGAAGCACTGAATCTTCTCTGTGCAGAAACAGCCAACAGACTGATATAAATCACTCCAGATTTTCCACCACAACAAGCTGATCTTCAATAGCCATGAGGCAGGAACTGAACCATGAAGCCATACCTCCATAGCAAAGGTGCAGAGAGCCCTTCTGTCCAGCAATGGCTCATACACATCTGCTGCTCACTTGAGATTACGCTGAGCAATGAAGCATGAGCAAGCAAGCTGCTTGGACGTTGACACAGAAGTGCTTTTTAACCTCCAGTTTTAACCTCCAGTTTTATACATGGCAACTAATATCAAAGGGCCGCTGTTTAGGAAAAAAATGTTGGGGTAAAAAATCAGCATGCAACTATTTGTGTCATGTCCATAATTCAGACCAGTGAATTGAGGGACAGAGGGCCTCTTCTGCAGAGATACAACGGCATCCTTTTAAATATCCAAAGTGATAGGTGGAAGCAAAACTTGAAGTTGTCTTTTCCCACACAAAAAACAAGGAATGTTTAAGTGAATTTCTTGAATTCATGCTAATGAAAAGAGTAGGCTTAGAAGGAAATTGGGCTGAAGCAAGGCCTAAAATTATTTTAAAATTTGTCTAGCAATAACATTCAAATTTAAATGGGATTATGACGTACAATCACGCCAGTGAACACACAGCAAAACGGAGTTAGTAAATTTATTTATTTACTTATTTATTACATGTACATGAAAATTTGTATGAAATAATGAAAGCACGCTTATCTTACATCTTCTGCGATTTAGAGTACCATTGCATACTTAGAGTACCATTTCACACATTCCAGAGAAAGAAAGCATCAGCAAATGATGTTCAAGTCAACCATGAATCGTTTTGCTACATTTTTAGGTACCGCATTAGGCTATTGAGGGAAAGTCATGATTCGGATGCCAGGAAAGATGCAGCTGCTTTCAGGAGTTAAGGCCAGATTCCATGCGCTGCCAAACACTTTTTGGAAACAGAATCTGAAGCACTACCCAACTGTTTTATGTCTCTGCAGCTAAAACCTATCACCTAAGCCCACAGGATTTCATGGAGCCTTTGAAAATATTTTGTGCAATCTTCTCCAGACAACAGAAAAGATGACTGAACATGAAAATTAACACTATGTGTAAATTAAACAAAATAAAATGTAGGTTTGGGTCCAGCTTTGGATTATGTAGTGAAGCTGCTGATGTCCTTGACCTGATCCAGAAAATTCCTACTTCATATCATTATTCTCATCACAATTATTAAAACATTAAGAACTTCTTAATAAGATTTGGTTTCTTCCAGAAGGAAGTCACTGGAAACATACATTACTTAATATATGAATTTATTTTCAAATGCATGAACGTATGGAGGCACACATAAATCTTCTAGGAGCCAAATGCAGATTACATTGAGTGGTGGTTCTGATGGAGTACAGTTCCCATAATATGCAGCCAACACCAGAATGATAAAGTGGCATTCCAAAACATCTGCTGCTGCAGATGAGGGGGAAAGGGTCAGTTATAATCAATAAAAATGATAAAGGGACTTGATAGTCTGTAACTGGTTTATTTATCCCATAAAATAATCAAAGCTGATGCTTCCACTTATGAAAGGAGGCATAGCAGATTTTAGAAATGAATATTTCTTGGTACAAAAGGGCACTTCTGTTGCACTTAAATAGGTTTCAAAACAGTTTGTCGTATCCGTACAACTTTGTTTAGCATTTGGCACATTATCCTCATTTCAAAAAAACCAGAGACAACAAAAAAAGAGCTTGACTAGCTCTCCTAAGATACCCAATGTAAGGGTGGATTGGATATGGCTGGATGCATCACAGGTTAGGCAAGCTTGATGGTCTATGATCACCTTCTTCTATGATACTCTAAAGCAGGGGTAGGGAACCATGGCCCTTTTATGACTTGTGGACTTCATCTCCCAGAATTCTTGAGTCAAGTGGGGGGCCATGGCCCTTTTATGACTTGTGGACTTCAACTCCCAGAATTCCTGAGCCATCCATGCTCAGGAATTCTGGGAGATGAAGTCCATAAGTCATAAAATGGCCATGGTTCCCCACCCCTGCTCTAAAGCAATATTCTCAACCTCAGCAACTTTAAAATTGGTGGATCAACTCCTAGGATTCTCCAGCCAGCATGTCGGAAGTTGGAATTCAGACATATTAAGGTCACTGAGGTTGAGAAACACTGCCCTAAAACAAACATTAGACTCCACTCTCCAGGACAGGCCTCAGCTTTCGTTAACACACATTCATGGTCTTTGAAATTAAACATATATACACTCTCCCTAGACACAGAGACACATACATACCATGTTTTTTTCCAGTCTGCCTTGGTTCTTTTTACTATTTCTTACTCTGTCTTTTTTTTTTAATTTCCACATCTTTTTCTTTTCATCCCACAGCAAAAAATAACCCTCAAGGCAATGGATTTGATTGAATTATCTCTTTTCCATCCCCCTTCATGCTCCCTGAGTTTGAAATGTAAAAATGTTGAAACGTCTGAACTTTCCCATCTTGGGGTGGGGGGGCTTATGGCTTTGGTTCAGCAACAACAACAGAAGGAAAGCTGTCTCTTGGACTTTCCTGGATCCCATAGTATAAATCATCCTCTTCTGCCTCCTGCAAGGCTCTGCTGCATTCCAGAGGACCACAATCTGCTATTCCCACAATGCCATCACCTGATGTAGGAGGAACAGAGCAATGGCTTTGACTTGGGGTCGTGGTGTTTTCATTGCTCTGCCCCTGACCTTCCACCGCCAGGGAATCAATCAAGGCAAAATCTTCATAAGAAGGAAGCTTGAATTGGAGCTGGCTTCCCGTTAGAGACACTGAATTTGGGACATCTTTCCATCTCTGTAAAAATGGGCTGTTGGAAGTGGAGTCCAACGAAGAAGTGTCCACTTCCTCTTGAAGAGATGCCAATGGTGCCCCCTTTGGAAACCTCTTAGATGGACTGGAAGAAGGGAAAAAAAGGATTTAGTGAAGGGCATTCCTTCTAAGGCTGTTTGTTGAACTGTTTTGGGTTTCAACTGAAAAGTTTACAGTAAATGAAGCAATGTGGATGTTAAGTTTGTGCCAGGTTATTAGTCCAGAGTGACTAATTTCCTTGTTACGAGTTTGGTTTCTAAAACTAGATGTTATTATTGACCAACCCAGTCCAACATCAGCATTTTGATAGAAGAATGGGTGGAAAACAAAACTGTACTAGGCAATATGACTATACTGGCTTTTAAAAGTTGGAAACTAGAGTGCTTCTACTGTATTTTATTCAACCAAACTTTTTTTTTTTAGAAATTTCATCTTTCCTTTAACTAAGATCACAACATGATTTGATAATTCATCAGTTACAGTACATTAATCAGTTAGAGCAGCTTTATTCAAGTAAATTGGTATTCCCAGTGAATGAAGCAACAAAATGAAAGTAAGAACATAAAATATCCATAGAGGCAGTCTTAGAAGAAACATTACAACTTTAAAAGTACTTTCAATTAATCTAGATTATAACCTTATGCATCTAATTCCATGTACAGTAATTTTCTGCTAGTGATTTCTGCCATCATTTCTCCACTTGGAGTTTGCATAATCAAAATAGCTATATCACATCATACTTCATTATCAAATATTACAATAAAGAGTCAACCTATTTTTTGCTAGATAATGTTTTAATTATATCATCAAAATACCTACTTTTTGTAAAACATGTGTAATAAAGTTTTAAGAATTTTAAAATAAAGTTAGTGATGCCTTTAAGGAATATACACTGGTGATATTTTTGATGAGGTTGCATGGAAAATGGAGTTTAAAACAGAATAACAGAGTTGGAAGGGACCTTGGAGGTCTTCTAGTCCAACCTGCTGCTCAGGTAGGAAACCCTATACTATTTCAGACAAATGTCCATTCTCTTAAAAACTTAAACTGTTGGAGCATCCACAACTCCTGGAAGTAAGTTGTTTCACTGATTAATTGTTCTAATTGTCAGGAAATTTCTCATTATTTCTAGGTTGCTTCTAGGTCTCCTTGGTTAGTTTCCATCCATTAAAATTAGGAATGTTTTGAGCAAGGTGATCTACTCCAGAGTTACCATAACATTTTAGGAGTTCTAAACAAGGGCTTAATTTCCTTTAGGCACTTTCAACAGAATATTCATTGCATCATGTAAAGCAAAATATTGTGAGTGTGATGAAAGACCTGGTAAATTAAGAACTTTTCATTGAAACAATTTTAACAATGTAAAATTCACTATGAAGACTGACTCTGTAAATCAACAATTCTTTTATTTTTACTCTCAAAACTATAAGGTTGTGTCAAAAGTAACCCAGGTGCAAAAATAATTTTATGTGATAGAGCTTTTCCTAACGTCATATACAGCGAAGCTTCCTATTTAGTGGTTCCTTTATCTCCCCCATCCACTACCAAAAATTAATATAACAACTACAACAATTAAAGCACCACTTGAACACTGTCAACACTGACAAAATCACCATCAGTCAACTGTAACAGGAAACTGTACTTGTAACAACTTACATCTTGTAATAATATTTTTAACATTATTAAACAAGAACATCTATCCAACCCAGGTCTTGGGAATGACTCAATAGATGGACAAAAATGACAAATCCATTCTAAATATTGGCTGACTGTTTTACCAATTATAATACCTGGCTATCATTAAACCTATGAAAATAAGGATAAACTTTTTTGTCCCAATAGTGTTGTCCATAAGGAATGAGATGATATGCAATTATAAATTAGCACCTACATAAATCTGGACAACCACTCAATTGTAATTAAAAAGTTAAGGTTTTCTGTATCTCTTTGCTTCCAACTACAAGTCTTAGATTTTTGCAGTCTAAATCCAATTGCCCTAATATAAGCTAATTCATAAACAGTTCATATATGTTACTCACCAGTTCAGTCCAGTTGTTGCATCTCTGTTAGGGCTCTCATTACTCTCTGAGTCCCTGTGGACATCTGCCTTGGCATGTACATTAGGATGTCTTTGTGTCCTGACTAGTGGCACTGGGATGGGCAAAGTTCCCAAGTATTCTGCAGAACTGTTTGTTTGGATCTGTTCATAAGTGGGCAGGCTTTTCTCATATATGTCAGCTTCTTCCTGGCTTGTGTATTGGGTTTGCAAACTGTGGAGAAAGCAAGATAAAATTCATTTCTATCTTTCTAGACATCCATCCATCCATCCATCCATCCATCCATCCATCCATCCATGAACTTATTTTCAAGACAGCTAATCCCTGGACATAAAGATGGACCTCTGTCCTAATAGTATTAATAGGAGCTTGATCTTTAGGAGATCCTATGGAGAATATCATCCCAATAAAGTAATATCATGCATTGATGGGGTTCAGGGATTGAAATCATAATGATTTATTTTATTGTATTTTAGCCTCTCCATATGAAATTGACCAGACAGAACTGAAACTAATAACAAGTGATGTACTGATTGAGACTGGACTACAAACAGAGCAAACAAGGTTTTATTTTACTGTCAGCCAAAGAACTCACTGGGTGTTTTTGGCCAGTTAGTCTTTCATGGACCAACATAACCCACTGGATGGTTGCTGTAGACACAAATCTGAGGAAACAGTGCTATATTGCTGCTTTGAGTTTGTGGAAGAAAGACATAAATCTAACAAATAATGAAAGAAGGAAGGATGAACAGATAAAATGAGCTTGTACAATTGAGTAGAGCATTGGCAACTGACTTAAGAGGAAGATATAGGAAGAGATATCTTGTGCCCTTGAAGGGCTGCTGTTTAGAAAAGGAACAATTATTTTTTTTCAAACTAACTCAAACATGCAGGAAAGGAATAATGAGTTGAGCCCACTATCACCTTTTCCAAGTCCACACTTGGAAGCAGAGCAGGTTATCCGGACTTATCAATGTTTACCAAACAGAAGTCAGCAACTCTATTTTGGAAAACAGACAGACTTCATTATCTTTTCTAGGTGTTACTGGGACTGTTGTTTCACAACCTCAAAGATCTGCTGCCTCTTCTTATGGCTCTGCCCTTAAATCCATGTTAGCCTAGATCAGGGGTGGGGGACTGTGGTCCTTTTATGACTTGTGGACTTCAACTCCCAGAATTCTGCATGGCTGTCTCAGGAATGCTGGGAATTGAAGTCAACAAGTCATAAAAGGGCCATCGTTCCTCATCCCTGGCCTAGATAGCTCTTAAATCAGGGGATGCCTTCAAATGAGCAGCAGTCCCACGAAAGCTTTTCTAAGAGGGGGGCTGCTCCAAGTTCAATAGACTAGATGATCACTCTGATACTCTTGAGATATGCCCCTTTGCCAGTGTGTGCTCAGGGGAGGGTCATAAAGCACACACCTCCTTTGTACATGTGTTGATGTCACACACCCATAGAAAGGAATAGGGTTTCAATAAAACACTTGTGAATTCTATTTGGACATTTTTGCCTCTCTCCCTGCAGATGCCCTGTGGCCCTTCCCATTGAATGAAAATTTGTTCCTTGAAGAAGATGTTGGCCAGTTTGAATGAAAGGCTGAGCCAGTATTTTGCAGTTCAGTACAGGCCATTTTTCTGCCCACTTGGAAACTGAAGCCTTGTTAACTTGGTAAACTGTGCTAGCACCGAGAATAAACCAACCTAAACTGTAGTGCATCTTCACCAGAAGTGAGAATGGCTGCCCCAACGGGGATACTGTTCATTAACTTATAACTCAGCATGCAACCACGTTTTATGAAAAGCTTTCTTTGTTAAGAGGCCTTAATTAAGAAAGCCTGCTGAATGACTTAGTAGACTAAGTCACAGTAAATGTCATTCAGATCTTAGGAAAACAATTCTCAACAGAGTTCATAAAAATGAACCACATGGCACTAGTTTCTGCCATCCTTTACAATCTTGAGGAATACTAATTTCAGAGAAGTGAACCTTTTGTATGACTTGGATGGAGACTCCACGTTTTATAACTTTATAGTTTTCTTTATGGGATTTATACTTTTCTATGGGGTTTATGTTTTCTCTATGGGAATCTTCTCAATGAGTTGTATAATTTTTTTTAGCCTTAACATATGAAGGCAAAAGATCTATTGTTCTAAGGCAGAGGTTTTCAAACTTGGCCCTTTTATGACTTGTGGACTTCAACTCCCAGAATTCCTCAGCCAATGTGCCTGGCTAAGGAATTCTGGGAGTTGAAGTCCACAAGTCATAAAAGGGCCAAGTTTGAAGACCCCTGTTCTAAAGGCAAGTGCATTCTTTACTCACCTTAAATCCTGAACATTTATTGGGGCTAGGTAAACACTAAGAAGAAGCTGAATGTTGCAATCTCAGGATTAGCCTTTAGTTTCTAGCAGGTGGAAATCTAATGTAATTTCATGAGTTTGCAATAAATGAGTAATAGCTTTTGAGATGCCCTTCTTTTTTTTTCTTACAGACGGTAATGGAGAGTTTAATTTTAAAAAATATAATATTTATTGCCATTTGCTATCCCATGCCAGCGTTTCTTATCCTTGACCTTGTCCTTCTGAGGAACATAGCCTCTAGTACCTACTGGCTAGCACTCTAATTAAAATGTAGATTGCGGACTATTGAGCTGAAGCCTGCTGGCTTGGCTTCTTCATAAGCATACCTTTTCTTCTCAGGAATCTTATTTTCAATAGATGATGAGGCAGCCAACTTCTTTACAAGGAACTTTTCACATTCTGGGTTCTTTACAAGAAACTTCTCAGACTCCGAGTCAATGGAAACAACTCTGATCTAGAGGAAAAGTTAGGAAAAATGGCTCTATTGATCAATTTGTGTTTTGTGTGAATATGCAAACAGCTGTATAGTTTCACTAGGATCACTTCAACAGGCTCTAGAACAGGGGTCTTCAAACTTGGCCCTTTTATGACTTGTGGACTTCAACTCCCAGAATTCCTCAGCCAGCATGCCTGGCTGAGGAATTCTGGGAGTTGAAGTCCACAAGTCATAAAAGGGCCAGGTTTGAAGACTCCTGCTCTAGACGTTTGCATTGTTGAGTAGGTGTAAAGGACCATACAACTGCAGAAAACCAATTCAACCTCCTATTGTAGAGTCTCCTAGCCAGCTTCTCTTTAGTAATTTATTACATTATTACCCCACTTCTTTTCTAGATGTCTATGATAATATAATTGTGTCCATAATAATGTACTTGTTTCCACAATAATGCCATTAGCAATATGGTTTCCATGGAACAAATGTTGCTCTTCCTTGGTGCCAATCTTGTCTACCCTCCCACCTGATTTTTAAAAATAATTGTTTATTTTGATAAAAGTAATATCAGGAAGTTGGAGTGTACCACTCTTTAATATATTTGTTTGTAGGAATACTTTTGGGTCCCACCAGGTCTAAATTATCCTGTTCCCACAACATCCTTAATTGAGCCAATGGAAAGTAATATATTGTTGGAACACCATAAAGGAATTAACTGACCTAATCAAATAACCTGGAGCAGTTAAATTTTATCCCAGTCGTTGAAAGGATTAAACTAACTCCATCCAACCAATTGCATATGAAAATACCTAAACCCATTATGAATTTCTGGTCCCCAACAAAAAGAGGTAGGGAGAAAAATCAGCTGAAAAGCAAACAGAAGTTTGTGATAGAATTCAGAAAATGGAAACCTGGTACCACATAACCCATGCTAAGCTGTTTCTCCTGCAACCTATCTAGTGCCTGGCCAATGAAGAAGTGGGCTAGTTATGTCCAGGTAGCCATGTCAATAGTCTCCTGATTCAAGACTCATGGGATATCAAGCTCTTTCTGGAGAAAGGAGGTGATGTCAGCCTATATAACCATTATACTGCATGAGGATTCCTACTTTTGCTCCATATGTACCTGCCCTGTCTGAGAATAAAGATATAAGTAAAAACAAGAGTTGCGGGAATTGCCCTAAGTTCTCCATCTTGTTTGAGTTCAAAGGAAAAGAGCAAATCATGGATCAGAAACAATGTTGATAAAGTTCCCATCATTACCAGCCACTGGCCACAAAAGAGTTATAATTTGTTTGTATTTGTTAACGTTTCCTTCCTTCCAGTTTCATTCAGATTAACAGATTCACACATGTGCAAGACACATTTCATTGGCAAAATCAATATTATGCAGAGTTTCAGTCTCAATAATAGTTAATTAGATAGCTCATCTGAACAATTCTCTATAGGAAGGAAGGAAGGAAGGAAGGAAGGAAGGAAGGAAGGAAGGAAGGAAGGAAGGAAGGAAGGAAGGAAGGAAGGAAGGAAAGGACTAGCTGCTGTTTTAGACATTTTAGACATTTTTTAAAAATAATGCTGCCTACCTTTGGGTAGCACTGGCACATGCTCCAGATGATGCCCACAGCAATGACCAAGACTCCCAGGGTGCAGAAAGTGATATAGATTTGTGGTTTCTCCACACTCATGATGAACATGCCAATCATGACCAGAAAGAATCCCAGGACAATAAGTCCATAACGAAATGTTTTTTCTTCAGCCATTGTAACGTATACCCTTCGGAAAGCAAAATTAACACCAAGCTAATCTAATGTAGATGGACTTATTTATAAAAGGTGGTTGAACTGGAATCTGGAAAAGGAAGGGAGGGAGGGAGGGAGGGAGGGAGGGAAGGAAGGAAGGAAGGAAGGAAGGAAGGAAGGAAGGAAGGAAGGAAGGAAGGAAGGAAGGAAGGAAGGAAGGAAATCCAGGGCAGCCCTTCACCTGTTCCTGACCCAGACAATCCACAGGGACCTCTTCCAGAGGCAGCAAGGGGACAAGTGTCAGCTCCACCTCTAGACTAGTCCTGCCCTGATCTCAGCCAGCCAGTTTTAAATGGGTTTGTAATGAATGCAAACAAGATCTTTAAATTCACATTTGAGTAACGCTGCCTGAGGGGAGCTTTACTATAACCTTCCTCCTAGCTATAGACTGTGCAAAAGCTACCAATGATTTGCCAAGGGGGTGTGGAGAGGAAGCTAGATGTTCTAGGCTCCAATCAAAGCTAAGGGGCTGACTGGTAAATGGTGAATTAGGGAGCACGTAGACAGCCAAGGGAGTACTTTACTTTCAAATTAAAATATAGCTTCTCTCAAGTAATACATCTTTCTTCGTGTGTATGTAATTAACCTGGTTTATTTATTGAAAACATTTCTTAAACATCCTTTGTCCGGGGAATATTATTATTTCGTATGGTGTAGCAAATGCAGCATGGTGTATAAAATTCACAGAAACAACATATAAAATGTGTATCAAAATATAAAACACCAGAGCAGAGAATTATTTTAAAAACACACAATGCGAGCGATGAATAAAATTATGAATAAAATTAAATTATATATGAGCAGTTACTTCAGTGACTAATATACAAAAATATGAATAAAGCTATTGATGCAAACTAATAAATGAAGTATTCTGGAAATTGTTCAAGCTTTGGGGAATAAAGTTGTCGTGTTAAGAAAGGCAAATGACAAGCAAATTGTATGAATTATTCACTTTCTTAGTGAGAAGAGTCATATTTAGATGGGAATCCTCAGCTATAGCCATGTTCTTTCCCCAGGGAAAAAAAATAACTAAACTGCACTACATCAATGCGAATAAATATGACTGATGTGTTTACTATGTTTATAATCATCTCTCAGTTTCCACATTCCTCCATTAGATATTATTTTTAAAAACATCAGTCTCAATCTAAATTGTAATCAAAGAGTATATTTTCCCATTATGCCAAACACACTTAGTCTTCTTGGTTTACTCTTCATTCATCTAAAGATTTTCCACAATTAATCTTTTTTCAGAAGGATCTTCAAACATTTCATCCTGAATCTGCCATGCGATCGTTCAGACTTCCTTTTCCCAACTGCTAGTGAAAATCACAATTTGCATTATATATTTTCAGTATACGAATCAAGCTGGTAAGTTAAAGCAAATATACTTTGTTTTCTAGTCCTCTTTCTTAATAATATTTCAATCACAGTACTTTTTCTTCCCCACCGCTGCAATCCTTAAAAGCATTTCAGATTTACAGTATAATAGCCACAAATATTTTGGTAGTAGGTTGCCATCTAGTGGGGCTTTCAACTTGCAAATAGGAAAGTAACTCATTGAAAATTTGTGTGTTGGTGCTTGATTTTGATGTCTATTTGCTTCATTATGAAGAAAGGGATCTAAATATTCTCCCCCACACCTGTTTTATTCTTATTTTTCCTGCTTTTTGCACAGATACTTTTTTTTCAGTTACTTAGCCAGCAGTCAAATTTGACCAAACCTGGGTCTTCTCTGGTTTACTATTCGAAAGCCTGGAATTTTGGCTTTAATTGCTACCTTGTCCTCAATAGAAATATTTTTTTCTCAAATAAGAATCTCTATCCCTTGAGAGACAATCAGAATCTAAATGACACTGTACTCCAAAGAGAAGCCATGGAGATCCCAAAGAATATTTATTAGATTCAGTCCCATCCTGACTGGCCATCCCATTCATGAGAAGGGTCCTTCTATTTATCAAAGTTGCTAGGATGCAACAAGGATTTCATGTTGGAAGAATCAGTCTGGCAATAATCATTTATCCCTTTTTCTACTATCTGTCCTGAACTGCCTCTGCTATATTCTCTGTATGCATGTGAATATGCCTGAAAGCAGAATCTGACCTGAGTAATAATGAATGAAATGGTTTATAGAGTCAGTTAGCACCTAGTTGAATCCATTCTATCAGGCAAAGAATAAAAGACCACATGCTTTGTGTAGGTGGGCATGAGAAATAAAATAGAAGAAAGCTCAAATTAAAAGCCTTAGACTAGAAGAAGGCAGAAATATAGACCAAGAGGAACTGACAGTGAATCCTTAATTTTTTATGTACAATCTACTATCTTATTATGGATCAATGGATCATGAATTGCTGAAGAATCCATGCCATTGGACTTGGAAGTCTTATATCCAGAAGGATGCCCAGCCATCCAAAGCAGCTTTTGAAGAGCCACAAGGAGTTTCAGGGAAAAGAGAACCAAAAATATTGTTTTCCTGTATTCTTCCTCTAGCATAACAATGAGCAACCTACCCCTTTATCCACTCCGCTGACATTGTGCCATCAAACTTGGACGATAAAATGGTCAAATTTTACCTGTGCAGTTATGGATCATTTATCAGGTTTTGAGGAGGGCTTTAAGAAGGGCTGAGGGAGTGATTTGCTTCTGTTCACATTTCTATTCTGTTCACATTTCTACTCTCACATTTTTTAGTTATGCCTATTAGGAGATTACTTGTAATATTAACTTACCAAATGTTACCTTGTACCTGCTGCAGAATTTTGAGCCAGGCTAACCAATTAAAGAGGCAAATCAAAAGAAAATTAACCAAGCATTATTTTGGTTTCTAGTTTAATGAAAAGGACTAGGGGTGATATGATAGCAGTGTTCCAATATCTCAGGAGTTGCCATAAAGAAGAGGGGGTCAAGCTATTCTCCAAAGCACCTGAAGGCTGGACAAGAAGCAGTGGATGGAAACCAATCAAGGAGAGAACCAACCTAGAACAAAAGAGAAATTTCCTGATAGTGAGAACAATTAATCAGTGGAATGATTTTCCTCCAGAAGCTGTGGGTGCTCCATCACTGGACGTTTTAAAGAAGAGATTTTATTTTATTTATTTATTTATTATTTAGATTTATATCCCGCCCTTCTCCTCGTAGGACTCAGGGCGGCTGACAATCAATTAAAATACATAAATAACAATACAAATTTAAAATTAATTAAAAGAAATATTTAAAGATTGTCCGATTTAAAATATAATTAAAACCCCTCTAAAAATTTCCCTAGGCCAGTCCTGCAAGCTGGAATAACCAAGTCTTGAGGGCGCGGCGAAAGGAAGGGAGATCAGGGATAACCCTGATCTCTGGGGGCAGTTCATTCCAGAGGGTGGGAGCTCCCACAGAGAAGGCCCTCCCCCTTGGGGTCGCCAGCCGGCACTGTCTGGCCGATGGCACCCTGAGGAGACCCACTCTATGGGAGC